CCCAGGTATTCAAAAGTTGGTCCCACGGTATGACCAATGTCTCAATTCTGGTGGCGAATATGTTGAAAAATAGCTGGACACTTGCTGTATCTGTTGCAATAAATATTTCCATGAAATTGTGTTTTGTTTCTGTAAACGGCCCCAGGGAAACTTACTTTTGGGACGCGCCTCGTATATCCATATTACGAGAGAAAGAAGTATTTTTGCCCGGAAGGCTCAACTACGCAAGCATTAGAAACATCACCGCCCTCATAAACGTATCTGTTATGCTCGTCTCATATTTGTAGTGGCGTTTCTTATGAAAATATCTCCACCCACCTCATATTAATTCTTCCAGATGTCCATGTCAACACCTCACCACTTTAATACCAAATATCTTTCCCTTTTTTAACACTGGACATTAATGGGATAATGCGATATTATAATGTCCCTGTCTGAGCTGCATTAAATAAATGCAATATAATTGTATTTAAGCTTCGTGTTGTGTCTCGTCGACTGTCACGGAGCGAGATGGAATTAGTCAGTTTAATCCCGCACTCATACCAAATTCCTGCAAAATCCACTAAGTACTAAGAGGCGTGAGACATTTCCCAGGCTGACTGTCGTTTAATTACGTCGTGCATTCGCTTTACAACTTGACAGAAATGAGCCCATCGAATTTCACTCATTATAATTCAATATATTAAAAGAATATCGTGATATAATAGACCTATATTACAAGCAATTTCAGTTAAAATTAAACGGGAAATAGTGTGCATTTGTGTGTATTTTCTGGGATGAAATGTCAAGTTGCTTCAAATCAAATTCTTCATATTCGTTGTCCTAACACAAATTACCCTATTTTCTGAATATGTAAAATCAATAATTGATTAAATTTGTCGCCCCAATATTACTTTTATATTTTTAGGCCTTTTCGGAAAAACGCGTCGTTTTGTAAAACTCCGCCCAATTTTCGAAACATAAAAATTTTATACGAAGCGTCTTCCTAGACAAACAGGATGAAATGGATGGACGGTTAAATTTTGAGTTAAAGTTTAACGGTAAATTCAAAGTTTGCATACTATATTCTTTCCCTCTATACACTGTTTACTAACATTCAGTTGTTTTAAAGAAAAATATAAATGGCGCAGAAGATTACATTCACAATTTTTCTAACGCGCCAAGCATTTGGATACCCCTGTCCCAAACCGTCAAAATAGAAAATTGTAATTTTTCCTGAGCTATCTAACAGGATAGTTTGCGTTTTCATAATTTTTCGTACAACGTATCTAATTTTTTAAATAACAAAAGAGAATAATTTGGGAAGAAACAATTTTTGTTTACCTTTTTCCTTCGAAGCACTATTTGTTTGAAAGGCGTAGTTATACACGCCCACTCTTTGGACACTCCTATGACTAATTTTCAAAATAAAGACTCTTTTCTTAATTATCAAATTTTTCTGCACTGTGTCTGTATCCTGTAAACTGGGTCGGTGTGAATTAGAAAACATTGTAGCAGAAATGGTGGAGTTGTTAAAGGGAGGCATGTTGAAAACAAGGAACACTGGCGCTCTCTAACGACCCAAGTTGGAGTTAATTGTCCGTGGCAAACGAATGGAGATGATTCGCTTCTCTCTTCACCTCCTTGGAACTCGTAAATCTTCTTCTTTCTCTCCTCCAGCAAAATATAAAGAAAAGGGGGAAAAAGCAACAGACGAGGAAATAAAATGAAACATACAAAAGAAATAATCGGAATTATAAATAGAGAACTTTGCTGAGAAATATACAAGAAAGCAAATTAAGTCTGTATTCAGCACTGTATTTTTCAGACAATATATCATTTTAAAGAAAAGACGATCACTGCTTTGTTTAATGATATATTTTACCACTTTATTTTAATATTTTAAAAGTCTTTTTTCTACTCTGATGTAAACTATGTGAATTGTCTCGTTCATTGTAAATAATTGTAGACAAACATGATCCTATACTTGCTCAATTTTATCAGTCTAATCACAATAAAATATTATTATTAAATGTTAAAATATTAAAATATTATTACAATTAACATTT